TCGAAATAAAATAAATTTAATCTCAGATGGCTCAATAGAGGGTTTACAATTTTTCTGTTCGTGGTTCAAAGTTTGAAGGTTTATAGGATTTAGGAGCTTAAATCATAAAGTTTTAATATGTTTGCCAAACCTTTGTCTCGGGCAAAGAGAAAGCTTTACCAGCAAATCATCACACATTCATATTTTGTGCTATTCGAGTAAACATAATTAACTATATTTAATAGTAAATGACGGTGAAAAAAATCAAATAATTATTGGCACTTTTACTGCTCATGGTGTTGAGATTATAACTTTTGAAGTTTTTAAGATAATCGACCGAACAAGCGAACAACATCCTAAATTTGAAAGTCTAACAAGATTACTATTGATTGATTAATTACTGCTTAAGATATATCACAACTTCTAGAATTTTCCTGAGATTCTATTACTTCAAACATAGCTTAGCTTTGGAAAATTATATAATTTTTGCTTGCTTCAGTATTCACCTTGCTTGTTTGGAACAAGTGCTTGTAATCATGTTTGTAATCAAGTTCCTAATACCGTTGTTAAGAACTCATTTTTATTTCAATAAATTTGTTATACTCATTAATAACAACTTTTCAATTCATTTTCACTTAAACAAACTTTCTGATAAAAATCTAAAGTGTAAGTTTTATGAATAATACAAATACAAGAAACTTCTATTATAAATAATTTATTTGAACTTACAAAACTGAGTTTAGGAAATTCTGTCCAAATGGAATCCTGTTTATCTTAAGCAAAGTGTTTCCTATTGACATTTCCACTCTCTACAAACCAGTTTAATGTATTTTTCGAGATTCTAGAAGGCGATATATCCTAATTATTGTTTGTCTTTTTCCACCTTTGCTGCAGGTCGACTAGCACGAATTTTCCTGAGCAATTTTAAAATCCGGAGTGTATTTTGTATTAGATTTTAATTAAAATAACGTTCATGTTGCTTGTTTAATTTTGGATAATATTTTATAAACTTGACCCTTGAAGGATTGAAACAACTTTGACGCGACTAACTTTTGCTGCATAGAACCACAATAACCCATTTTCAAGATCCCAATTTATATCGAACGAATGTTACACATTTCGAAAGGATAAAGACCATAAATCTTTCTTAGGTGTAGGTTGTCTGGCTTAATGCTCTTATATAAAACCAACTGCCTATATAAGCGAAAAACAAAGTCCTGAGATAAAAAGCAAAGAAGTACGTTTTTCGTGGCTCACTTTTTATACAGGATTCATTCAGCGTTATGGGTGATTGATGTTTTTATGTGTAAATTACTACGGCGAAAAATTCAGAGCATGATATCGTTACACACAGGAAGTAAGTGAGCGAATTTGTTTCTTTGCAAATTACACCAATTTTCAAACTAGGCTATAACCCGAAATGTTTAAAGTTGTGGCACTTTTTTCTCATTATTCATACGCTACGAGGTAATATTATATGTGATATTTGCAGAAATCGATTACCTAGTTAATTCTATTGTTGCCACTGGTTTGATATGAATATGTAGGCTTAATGATTAATTTGATTATTGGCTAGCATAATCGTAAAACGTTGATGCAAATTACGGTATTAAATAACTGCAAATTTCATATGCTGATTAGGTCGCTACACAGTTACAGGCAAAGTTATGTTTTCCGATTTATTTTCAAATTCCATAGACTTAAATTACATTTCACTAATCAAATTAATTCAGTGCCCAGCTGTTTACGTTGTTTCGAATTAACAAGCACGTTTTCAGTGCTTATAGTCATAATCAGTCATTTATTTATTTGTCATTTCAGACTAATAATTTTACTGCTTAGAATTTCAGCAATTCATTTCCAGAATAATTTTTCATATTAATACTAGTAATAATACCGCACTAATTAAATTAGAGTTTGAGAGGTAATTAATATATATAATTCAATTGGATTCAAAAAACTTTGTCCACAATGGAAACTGAATGAATTAAATTGTTATGATTTTTGTAATTAGTTTCATTCGCAAATTAGTCCAATTGCATGCAGACCCTATGTACACTTCGTGCCACTTGCATATATTTCCATAAGCAATCAACAGACGAAAAGTTTAGAATATTACCCACTCTTCGTGCCTCAAAGCCATTAAACCGAAAAATTAGCCCCAAGCCAAATTAATTTTTCTCAATAAATCTGTTTATTCTGCGGCAGCAGCGGAAAGTAATCCACCAGAAGGGCAAATTCTGTTTCGCACCATGATTTTTAAACCGATTTATCAAAATCCGGGCAGCTGATTCTAAGTGGCAGACCATTTGCATCAGTTGCACCGAAGGAAATTAGGACAAGAGCATTATGCAGAAATTTGGCTCTATTTGGAAACGAAGCCTTGGAAATGTCAGAGACAAATGAAATAAT